TCTGAACCACCCTGACGGCCCTGATCCTACTGTGACATTTTCCGTGTGTCTACCTCCACCCGCCACGCCTGGGGGCTCACAGGTTCTTCCTTTGTCCGGCTACTTCTTTATAGGATGGACTGTCCTTGAGTGATGGTGGTGTTGTCTTATCTCTTAGTGACTTTTACATTGCTGTGATAAAGCACTATGACCAAAGGCAACTTAACCAAGAGTTGATTTTGGCTATGGTTCCAGAGGGATAAGAATCCTTTTTGTCCAGGTGGAGGGTTGTCAGCAAGTGTCAGGAGCAGACCACTGAGAAATCACATCTTCAACCACAAAGCAGAGAGAGAGAGAGAGAGAGAGAGAGAGAGAGAGAGAGAGAACTGGAGGTGGCCTGAGGCTATAAACTCTCAAAGCCCTCAGTGAAGCACTTCCTTCAGCCAGGCTGTGCCTCCTAAACTTCCCCAAAGTGTGCCAGCACCTGAGGACCAAGTGTTTAAATGTCCAAGACTAGCTGTGGAAACATTTCCCATTTGAATTATTACACCTAAGTTTTTATTTTTTATTATTTTTTATTTTTTCATGTTGCTGTGATAAAACACCCTGACGAGAAGTAACTTAGGGGACAGAGGGAGGGCTTGCTCTAGGTTACAGATCATCACTGTGGGAAAAATCAAAGCGGTAAGAATTTGAAGTAGCTGGTTATAAGACAACCCACAGTCAAAAGCAGAGTGCAGTGGGTTCATGTACGCATGCTTACCTGCTCACGGCTTCCTCTCCGTGTTTATATAGTCCAGGTCACAAACCCAGGGTTCTGCCCACGGTGGGCAGCTCTTTCCACCTGCATTAAGAATTCCCAGCAGAAATGCCTGTACGTCAAATGGAGCTAGCCAATCCTTCCCTGAGACTCGCATCGCAGGTGACTCAGGTTGTATCAAGTTGACAATTAAAGCCGACCATCACAGCTCCTCGGCGCGGACTCTGGCCTTTTCCTGGAGTGCCTCCATGTGTAACCACGATGCAGGCAGGTATCCGTACACTGCGTTGGGTTTCCTCTGGTCACTCTGCCTCTTGACAGTCTAATTCACAGACCCACAGTTGAGAAATGATGAGGAAGCTGGGTAGCATCCCATGGACCCATGCCGTGGCCCTCTTGGGGAGCATAAGGAGGGACCTAGTACCAGCAAGACAGAGCTGCTAGTGTCCCAGTGGGGCTTGGTGTTGGGCTGGTGACCAGGCAGAAGCAGCAGGCAGGG